ATACCCACTTGTCCCAGCACCTTTTGTTGAAAGGGCTACTCTTTTCCCCATTGAATTTTCTTGGCACCCTTGTCACAAATTAATTGACTATAAATGTATGGGTTTATTTCTGGGCTCTCAATTCTATTCCATTGATCTACATGCCTATCCTTATGCCAGTACCACACAGTGTTGATTACTGTAGCTTTGTAGTAAGTTTTGAAAAGAGGGAGTGTGAGTCCTCTAACTTTGTTCTTCAAGATCGTTGTGGTTATTCTGGGTCGCCTGCATTTCATGAATGTATCTTTAAGTAGCCCTGTCTTGGCGGTATTTTAAGTAGTCACAAACCTTGTCTGGTACAATTTAGAAGTTGTAAGTTGGCACGGAAATTTAGAGCAGGTTCTTGTGTGTTGGTGCACAGAAAAGATAGTTATATGGGAGGACGGTGATATTTTCATTTTCAGTCATCTTTGACGCAGTTTTAATGAAACAAACGTGTTGTTAACTGAACATCCTTCTGTAATTGCAAAAAAAAAAGTTGCAACTGTTTTTGTTGGCTTCCAAGTAAATATAACATTCAAAAGTCTTATGTTGCTGTTTCAGGCAGTTAATAAAAATACTAAGCAATTTTTTTCTGGATTTTTAAAGGTTTGTAGTATTTGTCAGCTTTCTAAAATTTACATGTGTTCCTGATTTCTAGGTCTAAATGCATATTCACTTTTGTGCCCAACTTTCTATTCTTTTTTTTTTAAAGCGTAACCCCTAAAATATCTAAACGCCAGTCCTCACAAAACCTGGACCCACCATTACACACTGCCAACCAGGCTTATCAGCAGCCTCCTGGGGGTGTCCACCAGGAGAACCCACAAGGCTCCTATCAAAGGCACTGCAGCCCTTGGGATAGCCACACATCTCCAAGCTGCTTCCAGAAGGAGAATTCAGTGGCCTCTGCCCAGACCTGCTGGGAACACTCTTCAAGAAGTGCCTGCGCCCACCCGCCCTCCCTACACATCAGCCTCTCTGACCACCTACATGCATCCTGCACTGCAGCCTTCATGATTTCCTACCTCCCCACCTCACTCAACCAGCATGAGAGGCATCGAGGTCCCTTCTTCCCCAAAGCCAAGCCTCGGGAGGGCTGACACTCTGCCCCCTGGGGCCACACTGTCACTGAGGGACTGACGGACATTGCTGAGCACTGGTAGGAGCCCATGAGAGAGATGTGGGGTTAGAGCAGGTCACAGAGGGTTTGGAGGGGATGGGCAATCTGAGACACTACCTTATTTATTTTTTAAAAAAGGCTTCATTTATTTATTTGATAGACAGAGACACAGTAAGAGAGAGAACACGAGCAGGGGGAGTGGGAGAGGGAGAAGCAGGCTTCCCGCTGAGCAGGGAGCCCGATGTGGGACTGGATCCCAGGACCCTGGGATTATGACCTGAGCCGAAGGCAGACGCCCAATGACTGAGCCACCCAGGTGCCCCAAGACACTATCTCATTTAATCCTCACAAAATGTTATTTCCTTTATACAGATGAGGAAACAGAAGCCTAGAGAGGAAAAGTGAATAGTTTACAGTCACTTATAGCAAATGAGATTTGTAACCAAATCTGTCTAGATGCGTGGTTCTCTCAACCAGGGGAAATTTTACCCCCAAAAGGACTGTTGGGAGTGTCTGTAGACCATCTTGATTGTCACTACTGGGGAAGGGGCTCTAGTGACATCTAGCTGGTAGAGGCCAGGGATGTTGCTAAACATTCTACAATGCACAGGAGAGCCCCCACAACAAAGGATTATCTGGTCCAAAAGGTCAATGGTGCTGAGGTTGAGAAACCCTGGTCTAGCACTTCCCCTGGCCATTCTTTACCTTGGCTCCTTTCTAGACTTCTCCTGGCCTAAGAGATCTGGACCCCACTCATGGGGGGCGTGTCACAGGAAGGAAGAGCTGTACACCCTACCCCATTCCCAGGTTAGGTGCCAGGGTCAGTGCTCAAGCTACGGATCCAACAGCAATGGTCACCAATTTCCCACTATGGCACCTTTAATTTCAGTCTCCCCTGTCCATTGGAGGGAGGACTTCTGGTCAAAGCAGGAGATCCCAGTTGGTTTCATTGCTTCTGGTGGGTCACCCCCAAAGCCTGCTCCGTTCGTGCCCAGTTTAGGTTAGTTTCCAGATGTGGCCACAAGATGGCACCCCAACCCACTGGGAATGCTAAGTCTCTGGGCCTGGGAGAGCAGCAGAGAGGATGTGCCAAGCTGGACAAAGGCCCAGGGGCTGGACCTGGGCCAATTCCAGAGCGTAGCAAGACCAGATCTAAGGCTTACAAGTGCCAAGTGTGAGAACATAGGCCAAACTTGGCTTCAGGACTCCCTTCACCTTTTTCCAGTCCACTGTCACCCCAGCTCCTCCCGGAGCCGTTCCCACCACAGAGCTTATGGAGCCCAGCACACTCTCCCCTCCAGCCAGAACAAGAGCAATCCCAGAGCTGGTGTTAAAGGATATAGGGTTTATTATTATTCATCTGACAATAAAGAAGATGAGGCATAGAGAAGTTGAATAACTTGCCCAAGGTCATAGCTAAGTCAATGATGGAGCTGGGATTTGAACACAGGCAGCCAGGCCCTAGAGTCTATGCTCTTGACCACTGAACAACAACAGCCCACTGGTAGTTCATTGCTGCCTCTTCTCACCAGCCACTGATCCCAACGACCCTCTGGCATGGGACCACACGCCTTCCTCTGCAAGGGAGGGGACAGATGGCTATGAATAAGGGGGTACCGTGCAAGTAGAAAGGGGTGAGGGTCTCGGCTGGGCTGCGGGGCTATGGTTAGTGCTTGTGGGTGAGAAGCTAAGGCTCAGGCAGCAAATCCTCCTCCTACCCCCATTTCTCTGGGGGCTTTTTTTCTTTCTTTCTGTGTGCCCTCTCAGTTTTTCTGGGCTTTCTGCAAATGCCAGCCTTTTACAGTGTGAAAAGGAAGTGAGAGAAGGGACTTTTATGTCCCTGCTTAGGATGGGGGGTGCATTTTTTGGGGCCTGGGCTGGGAGTTGCCATCAAGGATCAAGGTGAGAATCCTAAAATGGGCCAGTGTGGGGCACCTCAGGGACAGATTCCCCTGTCCCCTGGGAAGCTCCTCTCTCTGAGCCTTCTCCCCTTGCCATGTAGGGGATTTTAGGGTGTAGTGGATACCCTTTCACATTTCCCTTCACTCCAACCCTCTCCTGCCTCTCTTTTTCTAATACATCCTCTAGGGCCAGGCCTGACCAGGCTCCTAATCATGAACCTTCCCCCTACTAGCAGCCTCTCTCTATCTCTCCACCTCTCCACTTGTCCACTACATGGGACACCATTCAGCTTCCCACTGTGGGTCACCATGGGGTAGTGGCCTGAGTGGGCTCTGCACTGACTCCCTGAGAGATCCTGGGTATGACCTTCCCCTGACACAGCCTCGGTTCAGGGCTCCAGGTTCTCCTGGCCTCTGACACTGGGATGCTAGGATCCCAGGCCCTCTCTTGGCATTTCTCAAATCATCTAACTCTGAGTGAGGAGCTGCCATGTTCTGGGCACTGTGGAGGAAGGCAAACGAGCAGCAACCCTGGAGGAGCTGATAGTCCATTTTGGGGAAAGAGATGAGTTATAGTGAAGGCTGGGGAGTGATACTCTGATCCAATGTGGGCCTTCCTGCAGGAGAGGGAAGAGCAGGAATCCTGGGCCTCTATGGAAACACCGAAGGCTTCCCGAGAGAGAAGAGGGATGTCTGGCTGGAAGGAAGAGAAGGTTTGGAGAGGACTCTTTCTGGTCTCTCCCCATCTTGATATCTCCCAGCCAAGTGTGTGCGTGTCTGTGTGCGTGTGTGTTCATCTCTCTGTGTCCATCTTTTTCTCTTCTTTCTGGGGGTCCCCATTTCTCGGTTTTATCGCCTGCTTGGATTGGGGCAGAGCTTTCTGAGAGCCTGTTTCCTGGGGAATCTGAATTTGGATGAGGCTGAGTTGCACCAGGCCAGGCCTCCTCCTGGTTAGGGGATGGGGATCACACTGATTACGGTGAGAGAGATACTCAAAAGCACTCTCATGCCTGCATTACTCTGAGATTGAAGGGGAAACAATTCCTGTTTAGATCAATCTCTGGAGGGAGGAGGTGCCATCCTGGCCTCAGACTCTGGCCCTCTCTTTGCCTCTGTCTATCTCTGCCGCTGTTTCTGCCCTAACTCCGCCTCTCTCTGTTTCTGCTCTTGTCCTTCTCCCAATGCTCATGTCATGCTCTGCCCCTCGCCCTTTCCAACCTTCTCCACTCCTCCATACCTTTCCCTACCACACATGGATTTCCCTGGGCTGGGATTTCCCTGGCCAAGTGAGGAGAGAGATGTCTAAGACACAGCTTTGTCCCCAGGCTCACAGCCATGTCCACAGGTCAGTGTAGAGGGACAGCTGTCTGCACAGTTAGCAAGTGCCGACAGGTAAATAAGAGCCTCCTGTCTTCTTAATTAAATCGCCCTTTGTCCAGGCAGCCTTGTGTTCGATTGGGCTGCGCTGGGATCAATAAGCCTCTTTCCTGGTGCAGCCAACCCTGGAGCTGGGCCTGACCTCCCCAGCCCTGCTCAGGCCCACCTGCCCTTTTCCCCAAAAGTCTGTGAGCCCCTGGAGGGCAAGGTGTCTTATACCCTTGTGCCTGGGACAGAGTGTGGAATAAGGAAGGAGTAAAAGAGTGATTGAGTAAACTGAGGCACTGGCAGCAAACATGGGCCAGAAAGGCTTGGAGCCCAAACTGTAACCCCCACCCCCAAGATCAACTGAGAAGCTGTGGGAATCACAGCAGGAGCTGCTCCCATCCAGCTCCCCAGCACAACATCACCTTACTGCCCAGGGAGGCTGAAGCCCAACAGAGAGAGGGGGGATGTCAATGTTCAGGACCACTAGGAGCAGTTGTTCCTTCTGACCTCTAAGGGCAGAATACCCTTTTCGTAAGGGATCCCCATGGAGGGATCCAGAGCTAGTGTGGGAGGATCAGTGAGCTGGGATCAGCATGGCAGAGCTTGTGGCCCTCAGTGGGAGACTAGGATCAGCCTGGAGTTATGAAGGGCCCAAGGTGAGGAAGGGGTCAAAAGGCAATCATAGGGTTCCAGGATTATTGGGTTGTTAGGAGGGCTTAGAGGACAGCTTTGTGTGTTGTGTGTTTGGAGGATATTATTTTGGAGTCCATTCAAGAGGCATCTATGACAGGATCACGGGGGCCCCAGGTTCCGCAGGAAAGGCCGGTATTAAAGGTTGCTTGGAGCCGCCAATGCTGGTCCAGGTCAAGGTGTCTCTGATAGCGGTTGGGGGCGTCGCATTTCACTAGGGAATCAAACAGCACCTCGTTTGGAAGGAGAGGGACGGTGCCGACGCCCTTCTAACCTCAGTCTGACCCGGGGGGCGCAGGCCTAGACGTCTCCCGGAGCCCCCGCCCATCGAGTGGCGCTCCCCCAGGGCGGAGCGTCGGCGGGTCCCCCCAGAGCAGCAGGAGCCACGCGGGGCTGGCGCCCCCAGCGCCGGGGTTGAGGGAGGCCGGCACCGCGCCGGGCTGGAAGGGGGGCGCGGAATCGGGGCTTTTTAGGACCCAGCGCGGCGCCTCCCTCCGGGGGCGAGTGCGGCTGCGCGCGCCGTGTGCTTGTGTCCGGAGAGCGGCGGGCTGGACGCGGACCGCGCGAGCGAGCAAGCGAGCAAGCGAGCAAGCGAGCCTAGCAGCAGCCAGGGCGGCAGCGGCGTCGCGGCGGCGGCGGCCGCTCCGCGCCTCGCCTCCCCGGCCTCGCCGGCTTGGCCGGCCTCGCCTCGCCGCGCCTGGACCCGCCACCCCCGCCTCCCGGTCGCGACCGCCGCAGCCCCCTCGCCTTGACCCGCACCTTCAACCGCCTGCCCGAAGCGGGGCGCGAAGCGCGGGGCGTACAGGCACCGGAGTCGGTGCCCACCGGCCTCGCAGACCGAAGCCAGCCCGGAGAAACCCCGAGCCCGGCCCCGCGCAGCTCCGCCACAGCCCGGGAGCTGTCCCTTCAGCACCGCCGCCGGAGCCAGAGCGTAGCCCCGCGGAAGCCCAGCTCAAGGCGGAGCGCGCACCGAGCGCAGCGCTCCGCGGCCGCCGCACCGAGCAGCGCCCCGGGTGCCCCTGCCCAGGGGGCCCGCCATCTCCTCCAAGAGGCGGGGAGAAGGAGCGAGGAGGGCGGGCGGGCAGGCAGGCGCGCCCGCCGCCGGGGGGAGCAGGCAGCCAGGCAAGGAGAGAGGGAGGGGGCCGGAGCCCGCCCTGCGCCCCGAGCAGCAGCCCGGCCACGCAGGGAGGAAGGCAACGGTCATCCATCTCTCCAGCGCCGAGAGAGCGCTGCGGCGACCACTGCACAGCAGAGCGCGAATTTCCCGGCCCCCTCTCCACCCCTCCCCCTTCCGGGGGCTGATCTATCTGTCCGGCCTTTGGAGCAGCTGACCTTAGCCCCAAAAAAGCTTTGTGTCAATTTCTTCATTTTCCCGCTGAGATGGGGACGGGAGCCCGGCCCCCCAACCCTCTTTTCCCTCCTCCCGGGGCTCGCCGCTGAGCTCCGTCCCTTTCCCTCCCTTCCTCCCTTCCTCCCTCCCTTCTTTCCTCCTCTGCCTCCTCCGCAGCCGGACCCGCTCCCTCCCCACATCTGGCGCCTAGAGACCCCTGGGATCCCGCGCACACTCCCCTGGACCAGCACCCGACAGAAAGCGCCCCGAGGGGCTTGGGTCGCTCTTGGGGTGGCCAGAGCCACCATCCTCTGTACCCCCCGACGGCTGGGGGGAGGGGGGAGGAGGCCCCGCGCCCCCCTCCCCGGCGCCAACTCCCCCTGGCGGCCGCTCCCATGGGTGTCGCTGGGCCGCGCCATGCCTAAGGGGGCGCCGCGATGGGCCAAGGGGACGAGAGCGAGCGCATCGTGATCAACGTGGGCGGCACGCGCCACCAGACGTACCGCTCGACGCTGCGCACGCTGCCCGGCACGCGGCTCGCCTGGCTGGCAGAGCCCGACGCCCACAGCCATTTCGACTATGACCCGCGCGCCGACGAGTTCTTTTTCGACCGCCACCCAGGCGTCTTCGCACACATCCTGAACTACTACCGCACCGGCAAGCTGCACTGCCCCGCCGACGTGTGCGGGCCGCTCTATGAAGAGGAGCTGGCCTTCTGGGGCATCGACGAGACCGACGTGGAGCCCTGCTGCTGGATGACTTACCGCCAGCATCGCGACGCAGAGGAGGCGCTCGATAGCTTTGGCGGCGCACCCCTTGACAACAGCGCCGACGACGCGGACGCCGACGGCCCCGGCGACTCAGGCGACGGTGAGGACGAGCTGGAGATGACCAAGCGCCTGGCGCTTAGCGACTCCCCGGACGGCCGGCCAGGCGGCTTCTGGCGTCGCTGGCAGCCGCGCATCTGGGCGCTCTTCGAGGACCCCTACTCCTCCCGCTACGCACGCGTAAGTGACAACCTATCCATCAGAAGATCCTCTGCCTCCCTGGGGCGGGGGTGGATTCGAGAACTGGCGCCTAGAGAGTCAGAACTGAAAGGAGTGTGTTCGTGTGTGTGTGTGTGTGTGTGTGTGTGTGTGTACGTATGAGAACGTGTATAAAAGGGGGGATAAAAGAGAGGTTGCTCTTCGAGAGTGACTAGTTTTGTAGGTATGTAAGGTCTGTGTCTGTATTTCCAAATTAAATACGTATGAGTGAGTACAAATGGGTGTTTGTGTGTATGAGTAGATTGTGTGTGCATATTTATGTAAGTATGGTGGTGTCGATTTGGGTAGGTAAAGTGTTAGTGGGAATGAGAGAACATGTTTGTATGTTTGAGTGTGCAGGAGTGCCTATGCATGCATATTTGTGTCTTTGCAGATGTACACTGGGAAGATGTGAACTGCCCTTTAGATTTTGGTGTGGGGAGGGAAGCTGGGAGCCCTTCCTCCCTCCCAGGTAAAAGGCATCTGGAGCCGGCCAGGGCCTGTAGAGGAAGGCTTGGCCTGGTCTGCTGCTTGAGACAGACCACCCCTCCCCAGGGAGCAACCTCAGGCTGCTGTGAAGGGGGAATCTTTATGGCTAATTAATAGCTTGGTAGTTGGTATGGGCCTGGGCTGTGGGGAGGGTGATGTGGCCCCTCTGAGACCTGTTCCTGGGAACACAGCCTGTCCTTCTTCATCAAAAGGGAAGGGTTTTGGAGGGGGCCGCTAGGCTTTGCCTGTGCTTCCTCTGGGACCTGTCAGGGGAAGCGTGGGGGGTTCTAAAGGGGAACCTGCAAGAAGGTGTGTGAGAGGTGGGCGTGTCTTCATCAGCCACTCCCCTTTAGTGATAGCAGCTTGTTGCAGGAGAGAAAGGGCACCCTGCTGCTGACCTTGGCCTCTCAGAGGCTTCTCTGGATTGGTTTCTTCATCTGTAAAATGGGAGAGGGGGTCTGGTGAAATCTAAGGGTCTTTACTGCTTCACTGAGCCCAAAAGGGAAACACTGGTAGCAACCACCTACCCTGGAGGAGACACCCCTGGCATTCACTGAGCTCTGCAAGGTCTGAATGGGGCCTAAAGCATGAGGGGGAGGGGCAGAGTTGGGAATTGAAAGCAGAGCCCCCCCCCGAACCCCCTACTAGGCAAACCACTGCTCTTTTTTTACTGTTCCACATCCCTTCCCTCCTGTACCCTGGAGCCAAGGTTGGGAAGACGGGGCAGGGGGGGCAGGGGAGGAGGCAGGATCAGTGCTGGGGGTCGGTGGGGGAAGGGGACTTGGGGGGCACTGAGGTGTCCGCGGGGAGAAAAGGGCTGTTCAGGCACAGGCCTGGTAGATTTGTGACTTAGGTAGAATACTCAGTGTTTTAGCGTGGGAGGCAGGGGGCAGCAGGACAGAGTCTTATACATTAAATCCTGGAACAAGTGTGTGTGTTGGCGGGGGTGGAAAGGGGAGAACCAAGCCCCTCATTTTGCCTCTGAAGACCCTACACAAGGTCACTCAGGGAGCTAGAGGCAAAGCAAGACTAGAAGCTAGGTCTCCTGGGACCCCATCCTCCCCTGAACCGGCTGCCAGCTCCCTGCCATTCCCAGAATGGACTGGGACCCTCAGAGGTCGACCCTCCCCTCTCCTCTCCTGACAGAGGCCACCATAGCCAGGGGATTATGTAACTGGAGGCTGTGGCTGAGCTGTGGGGAGGGGCAGGAGGAGGGGCACTGGGAGGTTGAACCAGTACACGTTGGGGCTGGGGGCATGCTGGGCAAAGGCCTGGGTTAGAGCAGCCACCATTCAGCCTGCATTTGACCTTGGACAGCATCTCACCACCATGACCATCCTCCTGGGCCCAGGAAGGAAGGAGAAGGCCCAACCTCCTCATTGTCCTTTTGCCTACCTGGCTCCCTAGTAAGAGCCTGGATCCCCCCACCCCAGGGCTTGGGCTCAGCTTTAGGCTTCTGAGCTATGTTCCTGACTTTCAGGATAGGCAGGGGACAATGTGGGGCAGGTTCCAGCCCCATCACTGTCCATCTTCTTCCACTTGACTCCATGCTCCTAGGCCATGGGGTGGCCTTCACCCCATGCAGATAAATGGGCTGGTTAGTGTGGTTTGGGGTCTTGTTGGTGTTCGAAACCTTACAGAAAAGTCCTGATTGTCTCAAGTGTTCACTGAAGAGCAGACTCTAAGGGAAGAGCTGGGGTGTAGTGGGGAGGTGGAGGTGGGCTAGAAACCCCCCCCGCCACCGTCGTGCACCCACCTTCCTTTCCCAGTAGCCTCATAGAGTCATTCTAATGCCTTTGGATGACATATGAGGACACTGAGGCTCACAGAGGAGGGACCTGCCCAAGGGCACTCAAGAACTGAAGGCAGAGCCTGGATTAGAACCCAGGCTTCCTGCTGCACGCCAGGCTGGCCTAGCTGCATTGCGCTGCCTCTCTCGGCTCATCTGCGCAGGGACCAGCCGGCTGCCTGTCCTTCCTCCCCCTCCATCTTTGCTGCTGCTGCTGTCACCTTTGTTTACCCCTCCCCCCTCCTCAAACTGGTGGGTCAGGATTTGAATTTTTATCTAGATTCTAGACCAGAATCCTGGATGTGTGTGACATCGCATGTGTGTGTGAAAGAAAAGCGGTATGTGTGTGAGAGAGATATCTGTGTAAGAGGGATTCTCTGTGGGTGTGAGAGACTCTTCATATGTATGAGAAAAGGCTGGGTAAGAATAAAAATACGTGTGAGTGAGACTGGGAGTAGGGTGTGCGTGTGTGTGCACGTGTGCGCGCGCGCATGTGTGCGTGTTTGTGGTGAGACTCTGTGAGAGAGATTCCGTGAGTCTCTGTATCAGAAATTCTGTGTGAATGTGAGAGAGACAGATTCTGTGTGTTTTGAGATGGACCTTGTGTGTGAGAACAAGACAGCGTGGGAGAGAGCGCGTACATAAGAGAGGGAGACGTACGTGTAAGAGAAATGCTCTGTATGTGTGTGTGTGACGTGAACCTGAGGTGAGTGTGTCCCTGTGTGTGTATTGCTGTGTGTGGCGAGTGTGACACTGTACGTGTGGAGCTCTGCATGTGAGGCTGTGTGTGTGTAAGGCTGTGTGCATGAGACCATCTGTGCAGGCGGCCGTGCGTGGGGTGGGGGACCCTGCGTGTGGCTCGGGCTGTGTGTTTGTGTGCGTGCGTGTGTGTGAGGCTCTGTGTGTCAGTGTGGCTGTGGGTGATTGCTTGTGACAGAGACCCTGTGTTGCCCAGGTGTGGGTGTACCTTGAGGAAGATGAAACTCCAGACCAGCTTCCTGCTTGCTCCCTTGATCTCCTGGCCCTCCTGAGCTGCCTTAGTGAGTGGTTTTGCTCCTCACACCTGTCCTCAGTTGAAATACTGCTCTAGCCCAGGCCATTGTGGATGCGTGGATCAGACAGACAGTGAGGCCACCCTACCCCACCCAGGCCTTCTTGCTGGCCCTGGAAGGTAAGGGCTATTTGGCTGGAGTGGGAGGTCCCATCTGACCTCTTGAGGGGTGACAGTGCGAGCTAGAGCCACCAGTTCCCTGGGTCCTCTCTCCCGTGCTTTCCTGGGCACCCAGGCTGAGGAGGTGAGGGGTGGGGAGGTGAGCTGGGACAGGCCAGGGTGAGGGGTGGACACACACAAGCAAAGCATGATGGTGACACTATGTGGTAAGGGCCACAAAGGGGCTTCCTGGGGCTATTAAGAGGAGGCCCCATCCCAGAGGAGGCAATGCTAGGGTAAGCTTTGGGGGGCAGGTAGGAATTAGCCAGGCAGATGGCAGGGGACGGCAGTCCTGGCAAGCAAAGCCATGAGGGTGCGGGAGCAGGGCTGTTGGCAAAGCCTGGGGCGGCCTGCCTTGAAACCTGCCCTTCTCTCTGCCTTGGGGGCTGGTGCAGGCCTTGGGTTTTATCTATGGTTTGCTTGTTTTCATCAGGAACATTGTTCTGTGTCAGGTCAGGGCTAATGGTGGTCCTTGTTCTTTCTGTAGGCCAGAGAGTATCCTTAGTATGTAGTGTGTGTGTGTGTGTGTGTGTGTGTGTGTGTGTGTGTGTGACGATCTCTGTCCCCCTTTCAAATGACAGTCACTTGACCTTCCAGATGACAAGGAAGTGCCAGTGGTTCCCAAGCTGGGGAAGCCCCACTAACCCACTGTGCATCTCTCCTCTGATGCTGGCTCTCTGTCTCTCTGCCTTATTCCCTGCTCTTTGGGACCCGATGCAGCCCCAACTCCTCCTCAGCTCCCTGGGAGGGAAATGCGCTTGGTGGCCAGAGTGAAGAGCCCAGCAAGAGACTTCTGTTCCTCCCTTGGGGTCTTAGCTGACACGGGGCTCTTGGAGTGTTGGTGAGATCCCGGAGGGAGAGAGCCGCTATCGGGGACTTCCTAGACAGCTCCCCACCTCAGAGCTTGCCAGGGCCCCACCTCTAGTCATGGTAACATGTGGAGGAGACCCGTGAGCAGTGGAGAAGGGGCTGCTGGGTCACCCTCCCCGCCGCCAGCCCACGTGCCCCCCACAACGGTGTGCCCACCACTTGGTGTTTTTCTCCTTCCTCTGATGCTTTCACAGGTGTCCTTGTGTCTCTGGATGATACCTTCCCCGCAGCCCCCCGCCCCAGCTCCCTTGTCAGTGGTGGAAAACCAGAAACCGGTGTCTCCTTGTCCTAGTTTCTCAGCCCCTTTGCCCCCAAAATGGGCCTTATGATAGAGTTAGTGAACGACTCACGGAGGTCCTGTGTGGAGAGCCCCCAGTCACAGGGCCTGGCATGCAGTAGGGGCTCAATAAATGTTGGTTGCCGTGATCACTCCGACTGGTTGTATTATCCTTCTACTTCATGGCTCTCTAGATTCCGTCCTTTGCCCTCTGTCGCCACGTCCCCCATCCTGGTGCAAGCCACCATTGTTCCCCTCAGACCCACCCCTCCAGCGGTTCCCCACTGCTCTCCTGCCTTCAGACCCTGGCCCCTCCAGCTCATTCTCTATTTGGCCACCACCAAGAG